TTATTAAAAAAAATACACCATTAGCTGGTTAAAAAGACTCTTAATTTAATTAAGCTTCAATCCCTTAATAGATTTTTTAAAATATTTATTCGAAATTTTAGTAGGATTTTAAAACAGTGTTGAGAATTTATTTAAGACTTTTTAAAGAATTTTCAAATTTTCATTAAATATTTATTTAAATTTTATTAAAAATTTTGATAATTCTTATAATAAAATAAAATAAAATTCTAAAGTTTTAACTTTTAATCAATCCTTATATTGTCTATATATAAAGCCAAAAAGTGAAATAACTAAGATGAAAGGACGAAAAGTTAAATAACTAAGATGAAAGGACGAAAAGTTTTAACCGAATCCAACATCATCTAAGTACCCTACTTTAATTGTCAGTATTTTCTTCCTAGTGACTTAGAATGATAAAAGAAAGGATATGTTGGCGAAAGGTTTCTTCCCAAATTTCTCTACTTAATTTTCTATATCTTCATATGAAAGATTTTCGTTGCATGTAAAGTAGATACCAAAATGCAAAAAAGTTAAAAATGAGAAAAACAATCTAGAATCTAATCCTTTAAAGGAGGCGGGAAAGTATAGATAATCCAAGGAAAGGACTACGTCATATACTAAAATTAGTAAATTATAAAAAGAAAATAGAGCTACTAAGAGAAGAAAAATGAATGTGAAGGAAATATGTGAATTAAAAAACTATACCGGTTGACTTGAAACTTGTGCTTCTAACGCTAAGAAGGCAGAAAATGCAATAGATTTTATCTCAAATGAAATGATACCTATCTGCATATCAAATAGATAATAAAATGCGAGATAGTAAGTTAATAGATATAAAAATGGGGAGAAAAAGCGCTTGTGTAATTTTACTATGAAAGCAGTTGTTATCATTTACCTTGGAAAATAAGAGGCAATGAAGAGAATCCCCATTTTTACTAGAACAACATTTTTTACTTTTGCAGTGAAAGCAGTTGGTTCACGGAGAAAGACTTCTGCAGTGAAAATAGTTGATTTTTGCTGAGAGAGGCTTCTACACCTGTTAATTTTCGTCGCCTAAATGACTCTAGCGACGAATGAAAGGATAACAATATTGTTAAAGCGTCTCCACAAATAACTCGTAAGCATGTACTATCCGGTTAGCTATACTTCCAAGATCAATTTTTATTACTTATGTTGAAGTAGAAACCAAAATGAAGTAAGCAGAAAACCAACATCTAGAATCTAATCTTTTGGAAGAGGAAGAGTAAAATCCAAGAAAAAAAATGTTGGAAAATAGTTTGTTAAATCATTTA